AAGCGGCACGCATGCACCCCCATTGCTTGTCGCACTCCGCCTAATAAACGCGCCTTGAGATAAATGAATGGCAAGTCAGACAAAGAGAAATAAACCACTGGCCGATGCTTCAACAATCAGCGATAATCAACATATGTTGAGATACAACTAAGCTTGTGCGCAGACATGTGATTAGTTCCTCTTCGAAAAGTCCTCCATTACTCAAGCTGAACAGGGCTGTTGTCTGTCGTCAACGTACGACCGGGGCCTGTTAGGGAAATTTGAGTTGAAATATTTGTATGGGGGGATGCTGTGTGGAGGAGCTTGTGTTCATTGTCCCTCTGCTGTACATATACTGGTACTTTGGGCAGTTTCTCATGAAGACTTAATTTTTTTAAGATGTGATGTGAAAAAAGAAAAAGCATTTCTTTCCAAGAAATTACTTATTCATTAAGATGTGTGTTTGTACTCTGTATGTTGATTTTGATAAGACCAAACAAAATAACAGTTGCGCTTCCAGTTAATACTCGCCCCAACTTTACAAATCGCACTGACCCCGAAATCTTTTTATTGAAAAAGAAGTAAAAATAAAATAGACTGTTGCCTACCCTCGTGCTTATTGCAGGAGTGTGAAATATCTGCTTTTTTGTTGACTATGCCGAATTCCATTTGCCACTTTTTTGCCATCAACAGGCCGGATTTTCCTTGTTTTTTTTCCTTGTGTAAATGACGATTTTTCCGTTTTTTGAAAATTTTTCTACCGACGTGACGCGACAGCCAGGTCAAATTTTGCATGTCCTCGTTTGGACACGGAACAGTACTGGAGCTCCATAATGCAGGTGACTGAATATACTGTACATATACACGCATATGTACGGTACGTGCATACAGTGATTCGTATCTGTGCGGCTTAAAGCGCAAGCCTTGTGTGAAAACAGCATTCCGAGGCCATCCGGTCATTGTTTTGTGATTGACTGCCAAAGAAAGATTGATATTCATACATGTACAAGTCTGATTGGGACTTATTACAGCCCTTCCTGCGTGAGTGGTTAGGTTAGTGATGATTAACGATCTCCACTATAACCCATGATAGCATACATTTCACTGTGAATTTACTGGTATGGCTTGATAAGGTTAGTACTTTTTCGCTTTCGCCGGTAGAGGGTTTCGTGACAACTGGTGTGGGGCACACAAAGTTATTGCATCATGCATCATCATGCGGATTTTAAGTGCTCTATGTACATGTACATCGTTTTGTACAAGCTTTCAAACAATTTTTTTACATCCAAATGTTCGTGCGACAAAAATGTACGAGTATAATTGTATAAGTATAAGAGGTTCTGACTTGGACAATCTTGGACAAGACCGTTCCTCAATTTATGAATCTGCAGAAGAAAATCCGGATTGAATACACCATAGACCATCAAAATCAATTTTTAATTACAAAAAAAATTCCCCACCCAAAAATTTTTGACCCAAAAACTTTAGGGAAAAAAATTCTACCCACCTACATATGCCAAACCTATTTTTATTTGTCAACGTAATAGGAAGCAAGACTATTATTGTGTTTGGCCTAATTTGATTATCTGTCCTCTTTGTCCATATAACCAGTGTTGCTTCATTTATAAATTTTTTCCACTTATTGGCATGTCATTTCCTTGTTTTGTTTGAACAAACTTTTCATGTGTATGAATGTTTACTGTTTCTATCTGGTTTTTTTTTTTTTTTAACAGGTTTAGTTTCTGTTTTTCCTTAAGTGATTACATGTACATGTATCTTGGATTTTTTGTATATGAGTTAATTGAGATTTATCTTCAGATTTGATTTGAGAAATTTGTAACATTCAAGTTTTGGCCTTGTTACCTCAAGGTTTTGCGACAGCACTGAAGTTGATTTTAGTGCAATCCAACACCAGGAAGAAGTATCCACCTCAGGTCATTCCATGGCCTGTGTGTGCTTACGAGGTCTCGCTTTTGTGCGGTCAAATGCAAGGAAATAGAAGCCCCCAAAATATGCCAACTTGGGACTGGCACAAGTCTAGGATTTCTGGCATCTTACCCATCATGGAGTAATGTCATGCTTTGTGCCTCGCTCACTTGACTGTGACTGGCGGTGGAAATGATCGCTGATGTCACCTCACCCATCCCCCCTCCCCCACCAATCTGTTCTATTGCTGGATAAAAGCCTCGCTTGTCCATTACCGGGGTACATCTTGACCAAAGAGGGACAGGATGGCGAGTGAAAATGGCTCTAGAAAATGAGATTTTGTATACAAAACAGAGCAAGAGCATGTGATTAGTTTCTCTGCATGCAGACTCGGACATTGGCAAGGGGCATTTCTAGATGTTGTCGTTTGCCGGGGCAGGAAGGAGGGATGCGCCGTACATGTACAACTGGGAATACAGGGGATGCTGGAAAACTGGATCATATAGCTTTGTGTCAGTTTGTGGCAAACATGAGCAAGGTTGGGAGGGATTCCGTACTCTCCGCGTTGACATTGCACTTTCCTCGGATGTGTGAAACTTCCACTCATGGCAACAGGCCACATGTAGTGTCTAATATACAGGGCATAAACAGACTTTGTGGAAAAAAATTTACCCTCTGCAAGCCTTGCAGTGTGAAAATGGATGCGGCTACTTTCGTTTCCAATTTGTGTTCGAGAGTTTTGGACCTGGCCCTTGTCAAAGAACCTCCCACCCCAACTCCCCCCAAAAAGCCTTCATCTTAAGCAACAGCTTTACAGAGCTTTAAAAAAAACAGCATTCAATATTTGGCAAGACTAAAGCATCAAATTTTAAAAACTATAAAAATGGTAATCACAGTATTCATTTTACCATATTTTATGTACACTGTTGCAGTCTTTTCAGAAAACTTCCTTTATTTAATATTTTAGTATGCAAACTTTGCAGATTTACTTCAAATTGCCAAGTTGCCCACTTAAAATGTCTCCATGCTTTAGCCCACTCATTTCAGAAAATTCAGAAGCGATTGAATTTCTTGTGGCAGGCTTAATAGATTGGAAAGCCCATAGCGCAGGATCATTTGTAAAAGAGCTTCACGTAAAGTATCCAGAGGGCAATATTTCTGAAGTGGAATCTGCGTCATGGATACTCTAGAAAACATCCCCGAAGTGACGCCCCCCCAAAAAAGAAATTGCGCGGAATAAAAATCCCTGACAAAGAAAGTTGATACGCTATCAATAATGGTTGTGCTTTTGCACGAATTTGTATGAGCATTTTTTTTTTTGGCATTTGCTTGCTACGTGTATAGAATTACACTTTGGGCAACCATACAGACATTTTCCCCGCACCCTGTGTATGTGCTAAATTTTTGTGCTTCGTCTTTGTTTGTTGTGTTTTTTTATTTTTTGGGGATGAGAAAAGGCATTATTGTGTCCATGATCGTTGTCCTGTACTAATTAACAGTACAGGTATTCACATCTCCATTAGATATGAAGACATAAACCTTCACAGTGTATTTTCACAAAGGATTTTATTGTTTCATTTTCACAGTTCAAAGAGGGTTTTTTGGGGGGGGTCTGTTGTTTAGTTCGGGCTCTCACTTTACTTGTACATGTGTACAGTGTCCCCCCACTGTGTTGAATATGCATTATTTTGAAGACAAACATTGGTAGTGCACATGTACGGATGTGTCATCCTGTGTTCAAAACATGGAACCTCATTGCTACAGTAAGTGTTTGCGCAAATGTTGCAGATAGTGTACCTGTAATGTATTTTAGGGGACTTGAAAACATGTGTTATAATCATCACATCATTCTCCCAAGTAAATGTACCGTACAAGTAATACAGTACATACGCACAAGAAGATCTCAAGCATCTTGTTATGCATGTATATTTTTACCACTGTGATCTTCACTTTCGATACATGTGCTGAAAACTGTACGTGAGTACTGTGCACAGCCCAGCTGTGCACTCAGGGAATAAGGAAGTTGGCAATTCACACATACTGCACACACTTCCTGTTACATGTACATTTTATTGGCCACCTTGTTTCACTGTTGTATCCAGTACCTCTTGAAAATGCCGGTAATTCATAGTGTTAAACATTATTCTGAATTTTTGTTTTTTATGTACATGTCCATGTAAATGTACTCTAATTTCCTTATCGGAGTGAGCTGTTTTTTGGGTTTTTTCAAACTCTTTTTGCGTGCTTTTTACCTACAGGAAAAGGATTGCTTTCACGGAAAAGCATATTGTGTTACCCTACATGTACCTTGTTGAAATGAAGATTCAATTGTGGCTTATTTTCTGTTGTTTTTGCGATGCAGTGTTCGTGCGTGTGTTTATACACTATCTACTCTCGGCGCTCTGGGTGGGACAAGGAACAATCTGCCCTTGTAATTCAAGTCACTTTGAAATCTAAATCCATGGTGTGAAAAAAAGACCTGTATATGTACATATACATGTATGTGTTGACATGTATGGGTCATTCTGTAAATTAGGGGTGCAATTCTTTTGGGTCCCTGTCACGCCTGACATGATTTTATTCAGAACGTATTTTCTAATTCCAAGAGTGATAAATTAATGCAAATTACCTGCCGAACAAATAGAAATAGTTTGAAATTAATTTAGTGATATTCCATGTCAAATTACATGGGTCGGGTATAACAGGGACTTTGGGACCCCGAATTTGTAGAATAACCCATTTATAAAAATTCGTGTTCTTTTACATTGATGCTTTTGTAATTATACGGTATTAATTTACAGCGTATCTAATTGCATTTTGTGGAATGGAGAACTGTTAATTTTTTTTTAATATCATTTGAAAATTGTCACATTTTGGTCGAGTTTTGTGAAATTCCAAAGTCTGTTTCTGGAATTCCTACCTCAAATGCCTTTACTGATGGCCAACTTATTTCTAGTTTGGCAGTCGGCACATAAATTTTCCTCTGGAGAAAATTGTGCATGTAAATCCACAAAAAGAGAGTTTCATTTTATCAACACTGCACCAGATGCTAATTTGTCTTTCAATTGATCCAATTTTTGTTTTTGTTTTTACAGATCCACTTAATTTTCCTTTTGACTGATTTGATGATAAGGGAAACAAGCCTACATATGCACATCTTCGGTTAAACAGCCTCCATCTTTCAGGGTTTCTTTATCCGCCAAGAGGAAGCGGAAATTGTCCGTAACCATGGCGATACTTCATTCGCCCTCCGTAGGCCTGGAGGACATGGCGAAGCTGACGGACCTGCAGGATCACAGCATCTTGGAGAACCTGAAGCTGCGCTACGATCACGACCAGATTTATGTGAGTTTTGTCTGGACGGCTCTTGTTGATTGAATTGAAACGGGCATTGATTCAGGGGAATTAGGTTATCCCCGGTCCCCGGCCTGGCCGGTTAGTTTTACTGTACACGAAGTGCGATGAATTGGTTACATTTGTAATGTACATGTATTCATTGACGGCGCATTTATTTAAGGAATGAACAGAAGACGGTCGGTATTCCTGATTAAAGTGAAGTGAAGTGTATCAGTCTGATAGAATTACCAGGGGTTTGAACAAACAGAGGTTTGTCCAATATTGTGGTGATTGAGGATGGGCTGGTATTAAATAAAACCGTCGGGGTTAGAAGTTTCTGTCGTTGAGACTTTAGCCGCCACTCTTTTTATGTCAGATTTGTCACATGAAATGTGGTCCCAAATTGTAGTTAATGATAGTACATGCCTCTGTTTCATGAATAAGCAGGTCAGAAATGAATAATTCCAGAAATTAGGGGTCCAAAAGTGCGACATTTTCATGACCCTGTTACATCTGACCTTTGTTATTTGACATGGAAATATCACCGGAATTGATGTCAAAATCAAACTATTACTATTTGTTCGGCAAGTCATTTGCATTAATTCATCACTCTTGGAAATTAGAAAATGTGTTCTACCTTACAAAATCATATGTCAGATGTGACAGGAACATGGAAAAAAATTGACCCCTAATTTCTGGAATTACCCAAATTATACGTTACATGTAATCGATTTCAGTGGCGTTGTAAAAAGACATCTGTTCACTTTTCCCTTGACTCAACTCTCTAAGCTGAAAAAGCTGATACTTAGTCATGAATAACAAAATGTGCACCAGTGAGAAACAAATGAAGCAGTCTGTTGTAAGTGCATGTTGAGTGCTTTGCCAAAAGCTGGCATTTCCCTCTACATGTAAGGCAATTCACCATCACGGCTAATGTCTGAATCACAAAATATCCAATTTAGATTCAGCCTAAGTACCTTGATCTTGCAACAAAATAACGTCATAATACCCAATTTGTCATTTTTTTTGTTTTACCTAATGACACTGCAGTAGCTGTTATGACTTGATTTATTGTCTTAATAGCTCTCCTGATTTACGTGTAGAAGTTAAAAGGTTGGTAGTCCTTGTTTTGCCCTTTTGAATTCCAATTTTCTTTGGAATATTCAATTTGCATGATGATGTACGGGAAATGTGGTTTGTGTATTACATGTAAATTAGAATGGGCTGGAAACATTAGTCCATGGAGCTGTAAAACAATAGACGGTAGGCTTTGTATACATTTGCGTTTCATTAAAGTGGACGTCAACTTCCTGATTGCAATTACATGCAGCAGTTGGCAACGCTCGCATGTTCATAAGTAATTAATTTCTCTGTGATGGGTTGTGAAAGCTGGAAAGACGTTTCAGGAAAGCAGAAGTCACTGTAACATCTTGGTTGCCACGGGGTGGTACCCGCATCTCAGACATATTTTCTAGTGAATGCCGTTTTGAATTGTAAATGTTAACCAAGGGATGACTAATCTGCTTCGTTGGCTGAATACTCACGCTGCGCGCCTCAGCTGTACACTCATGCACCTTGACCATGTCCAGAAAGAAAGAACTGAAATTGTACAGTGTGTCTTGCCCTTCAACTGTTTTCCCAACTATCTGATGCAATCCAAGCAGAAAGGCCAGAGCCAAGAAAGACAGAAGAAAAATGAAATAAGTTTTCGATTAATTCTTGTCAGATTACCACCAGAGAAGTTAACACTTTGTTGAACAGTACACTTAGAAAGGACGTTTTGTTCTGTGATCAAGTATTGTCTAATATTTGAGACATTGATAAGAAATAGCAGAATTTTGCTTTCATACAGACGTACATTGGTTCCATCTTGGCCGCGCTCAATCCCTACAAAGCCCTCCCATCTTACTACGACAAGGATGTCATGTTGGCCTACGACAAGCGTCACATCGGTGAGTTGCCGCCCCACATCTACGCCATTGCCAACGATTGCTACTACTCCATGTGGAAGCGGAACGACAACCAGTGCGTGCTGATCAGGTTAGGGGAATAGTTAGGATCTGTCCGTATTCCTAACCAGCGACACCAGTTGTTGAAGATTTGCGAAGTCCTAAAGTTTTTACTGATTCTTCAGAACTAAAGGATGGAATGGCCAGTGTTCGGTTCATGGTTGAGTTCTCGTTAATCAAGAAACCTCATTGGCAAAAAATAAAGAGTTGACACAACATGTCCATTACATGTCCATTACATGCTTCGTACACATTCTAGATCCTCACAGGTACAGGTTTTTAATGCAGAATGGATGACCACCGTAGCCTGTCTTCAGAGCATCAGTTTCAAAATTGAAAATTGGAATGCAGCACTTAACAGGTTTCTCTATCATCCTAAACCTCCTTGTCTCCCCTTTTGCATGATGGGTAACCGGTTTGGACATGTCAGCCGAGTGGCTTCGAGCAGTCCCCCTTTTTTTAAGGTTTTTAAGATAACTGTGTCCTTGGCTAATGGCTTTTAGTCTACCAAACTAAAACAAAATTGATAGTCCGTTCTTATTCATGCTGTCTTGTGCTGGGCAAGGAAGTGAAATGCAGAACCGTAAAGTACGTGGGTTGCTATCATAGTTCATATAATGAGGGTTGTAGATCCACCCAAGCCTATTGAATATCCTACCGGCACATGCATATTTCTGCTGTATGACTTCATTGGATGGCGGGCTGTAGAAGAATAAGAAGCAGCTTTATTACAGATGTAGATTACCTTGGTGGTAGCTGACGCATGACGAAGGGGGACTGCAGTTTGGAGTCTTGTGCCGGGGAGGGGGGGGGAGGCACGTCTGTGATGAATGGCGATCACCTGCGCTGCAATTGGTCTGATTGTCTCCTGGAATAAGCCAGGTTCGGATCCAGGGGCCCTGAAAGAGAATGCCCAAGAAAATTCGGAGGTACCGGGAATGGGAAATGGGAAGGGGGCGGGGTTTGTTGAGTTGCATGTGCTTACGTGTGTAGGTTATGCTCCCCAACCTCTTGTAAGGCTGGCTGCTCTGGTTTTTTGCTTCGTCCGCGGCATCCTGTTTGATTTATGTAACAAAATCTAAACCCCAAGAAACTTAGTTACTCATCGACTTCATTTGAGACCCCCCCCCCTTTTTTTTTTTTTTCCCCCGGCAGTGGGGAGAGTGGAGCCGGGAAGACAGAGAGCACCAAGTTCATCCTGAAGTTTCTGTCGGAGATGAGCCAGGCCTCGTCCCAGGCTGGCGTCCCCCAGGCCCTGACTGGTTCCAAGCTGAGAGTGGAGGAGGCCATCTTGCAGAGCAGGTGAGGGGGGCAGGACACTTGTGGCAGTCTCAGGGATTCGCTTAGCAGCAGAGTAGCAGCTTAGCTGTTAAACAGAAGAATACTCCTCAGAAGTACATGCCAACCATACGGATAATATCAGCAACTCATGTGTACATCTTACCCTTGGATCAGCCGATTTCCTGGTGTTTTTTTTTAAACCTTCGATGCTGTTATTAGTTGAAAAGAAGACTCTCATGCAGCCTGGAATTTCCTTGTTTTCCCCTCCCCTGATTGCCCCGATTTGCATGCTATAAACAGGAAATGGGTTATTAATAGTATACATTACATTGAATTATGGGTGGTTATATTTCTCCTCTTAACCATAGTTCCCATGCCTTGCAAGGTTGTATCTTAACGTTCTCTGAAATGTGACCATGGTTTATAATTATTAAACCCTAACTGCCTTGATCTATCAAAACCGGACACCCAGTCCTGCTGTACACCCAGTATTTTGCAGACATGCCGATTTCCTTGTCTTTCACTGTACACTCATGCCGTTTAAAATTGAAAAAGCACTGTCTTGTCACGATTGGAATCTCCTCGTTTTGGGAGTAAAAATTCCAAGTTGTATGTCTGATTTTGATGTAGCAGGAATTGCACAGCGTGGCAATCTATAATCTTCTTGTGTTGTCAGTACAGTAAAAGCCACTGGCTACTGCGCAGAAGTGTTATTCAAAAAAACTCCCAGTGAGCATGGCGATAAAATTCCAGAAATGGACTTCATGCACCACACTTTCAAGTTACGTCGAGCAGAGTCGTGTCTTAATACTAGTAAATACCGATAAGTGTGTAAATAACCAATCTTGGATTGCAGGATGTGCTTTCTTTCTTGTCTTGCAGTCCTATCATGGAGGCATTTGGTAACGCCAAAACCATCTACAACAATAACTCGAGTCGCTTTGGCAAGTTTATCCAGCTCCAGTTTTCCAATGAGGGCAGCATTCTGGGAGGAACGATCCAAGACTGTATCCTTTATTGTTCACAAGAGTATTTGGGAAGTAGCCTCCCGGGCCACCCCTTAAACTGCTTTTTCTACCCCAAACCTCTAAAGATAAGGAAAAACTAATCAGTGAAACACCCGGTTTTTTTTTTTCAGTTGATTGCCTGCAAAAAAAGAATTTAGGCACACCTACAACTTGTGAAGAACTTATTCAGGCGGAGAAATGCCAGCAATGTCTAAAATTTAACAGACGCTTTACACTAACTGACATGGTTGTGTACATCTCTAACCAGCATATTGACTGATGGAATTGCCAGAATGTCGAATCTTCCAACAATGTCTGATTACGCTGTCTGTTCATAGTATCCCATTGACGGCACACTCTCTTTTTCACTGTTATATTTAGCTGATCTTCCTTGACAGAAGTGCCTGTCATCTCCAGATCTTCTAGAAAAGGTAAGCCAAGCTTGCTCAAGACTTGTAAATATGAACCATTCAAAACGTCACTGTGGATTTTTTTTTACGCTGACGGGTCTTTTAAAAAATAAAGCCTTGTTCACTAAATGTTACGAGGGAAGATAAAGAAAGCAAATTGGATTGCGAGGATATGTACCCTACCTTGTATTTTTCTCTAAGTACACAGATGTGTGACTGTTTGAGACACTGCAATTATGATGAGATCATTGGCCTGCCAATTTTTGCAAAATGTAACTAATCCTGTTCTAGTCATGAAAACAAAGTTGTCCTCGGGTATTCTGAAGCATGTTGGGAGATTGGTATGTCAGCTTAGATTGGTTATTGCAGTGCATATTATTAAATCACACCCGGACTGTTTATCTCATTTGTAGAATCGTGTTGTGGGCCAGAATCCTCAGGAGCGTAATTACCACATCTTCTATTGCTTACTGGCCGGCACATCGCCAGAACAGAAGAGTGAGTACCAGAGAAATAATAAACAGAATCTAAGGCTGCATCCGAATCTGTTGTCTAGAGCTAGGTCTAGGTCTTCGCTCCATTGGAAATGCGTGGAGACGCGTAGACAATAGACCTGGCAGTAGCTCTGGAAGCCCGTTTCGGACACAGCCCGAGGCTGCATCCAAATCTGTTGACTTGAGCTAGGTCTAGGTCTTCGCTCCATTGGAAATGCGTGGAGACGCATAGACAATAGACCTAGCCGTAGCTCTGGAAGCCCGTTTCGGACACGGCCTAAGGTAGAATGACATGTAAACGGTATTTGTATTCATGCACTTTTAGGCAAGCATGTTTCAGATGGTTGAAGTGCTCAGAATTTTGACCTAAGATGACGTTGATTTTTTTTTTTTCATTCCATTTACAGAGAAACTCTTTCTACGAGACCCAACTTCCTATTCTTATCTCAACAAAAGTGGATGCATCTCTGACCCGACCATCAATGATGCAGAAAATTTTCAGGCTGTCTTGGTAAGACTTCTCACGTAGTGTTAAACTTTGTTCATTTTGGGTGAGCACACCTCATGTAGGCAATATTTTTTTTTTACTGAGCCAAAATCAGCCTGGAGTCTGTCATGAGCAATAGATATCAGGGCCCAATTTCATAATGCTGCTTACCACAGAATTCCACACTTACGATCTCCAGTCTGCGCTAACCCGTTAAGCTCAAAATCCATAGTTACGGGATGTACGCATGAGCACAAGCCAAAATTCCTCGCTAATCCGTGAAATGCGTTCGTCGTAAGCGCAGAATTTTCTGCTATGGTAAGCGCCAACTTTTCGCTTGCGGTAAGCAGTGCCGTGAAATTGGGCCCAGATGGCTGGCTCGTAACATGCCCTTAAAAAGCAACACCTTCCTGGTACTGAAGCCACATCCAGATTTCTTGGCTGTTGCTAGAAATCACACTTGCACCTGTGGGAGCCTCTGTCTAGCTAATTCCCATTGACGTGTTTCACTATTAGCCACAGACAGTCGAATTAGACCCTGTCTGAGCAGCGCAGCCAGATCATGTGGCTTGAGGGAACATTTGTGTAATCACTAAATGAGTATCAAATGACCACTTGTCTGTCGCAGGAGGCTTTCAGTGTAATGAGGATCAACAGTGAGCAGATCAACGACATCTTGTCTCTCCTGTCAGCCATCTTGACTCTAGGCAATGTCCAGTTCATCACGGCTGGCGGGGCTCAGGTCAAAGACATGCAACGTGAGTAAAGTGGAAACCAAAAACCCAACGACAGTGATCAGTTATACTGAAGGTATTAGTTTTTGCTATGGGTCATTTAATCCTAAATTGGGTCACCCGGCATGGTGCCTTGACAGCTGTGGAAGGTATGACTCCGCTCCAACTGTACAAAATGGTTTGATTTGTCATTCTCAAGACGCGTTCTTTGTTCATGCAGCAATTCAGATTGTGTCTGCGTTGCTCAATGTCGATGAGTACCAGCTGTGTGATGCTCTGACCCAGAAGACGCGGCTGCTACGAGGGGAGTTGATCAGCACGCCACTGGATGTTGATCAGGTAGGATCCTCAGAAGTGTATTTAAAGTTCATATGTGCTGATGTGCAGTAAATTGAAGAGTACATATGAGGTGGAGGTGCACTTCTAATGCTTTGTTGATGAGCCCGAGGTACCTCTCGTGGTGTCCACAAGGCCCTCGTTTGGACATCTGGTACATTTATCTCCATTAAGATTTCTATTCACCTGTTTTCACTCCTGGAGATCTGATTCAAACAATTGCAATGGACCCAAGCTGGGCATAAGGTCGGGAAGGTGTCAACCCCTCCACTTAATGTTTGCTGAGGTGCCCTTGAGGCTCCTGGGCACAGCTGTTCTGTCATTACTGACACTGTTCCATCCTCTTTCACAGGCCGTAAACTCAGTGGATTCTCTGGCAATGAACCTCTATGGCCGCTGCTTCAAGTGGATCATCCATCGCATCAACCGCTGCATCAAGGGCAAGGAGTTTTTCCACTCAGTTGGCGTCCTGGACATCTTTGGATTTGAAAACTTTGAGGTGAGACTCATGGTCAAAAGTAGATTTTTCTTTTTGAAACTTAGATATGTTAACCATATGTTGCCGGGTCTAAATTGAAGTTGCAGGACGACTTCCTGGGGGATTTTCAAGATCTTCCATTTTTAAAATTCTTCAAAATTCATAACTTCATTTGCTGGACGTCTACACCTACACGTCTATCTGGTGGCTACTCTAATCTGACAGGCAACATCTATTGATGCCCGAGTATTTCAGCCAAGCCCTGCCGCCTTGTAAAGAGAGCCCAGATTGTGTGGTGTTGCGTAATTTTGTTTTGTTCCTGAAACTGGCCCGGTGTGCTGCTGGCGTCTTTTCAAATGCAGGTCAGATTAGCATGCAGCGGTATTGTATCGTTCGTCACTGGAGCACTTTTGTCTCCAGTCGTTATCCGCTCGCACTGAATGCCACAAAGAGTGGTATACTGTTTCAAACAATGACGGATTACCTCCGCTATCGACAACTGAATACAGTTGGCGATTCCCCAGCAGCCCGGTCTTCTGTTCCTAGTACAGTCTATTCTTACAAGGCCCAGTTCCTTTGTCCGATTTTGGGCATCCTGGCCTTACGTACAAACCTAAGCTCTCCAGTACCGGGCACCCTGGCCTTACGTACAAACCTAAGCTCTCCAGTACCGGGCACCGCGGTGCGAAGTGGTTAATACTTACCAGTCCTCTTCTTCCGTGCTTTTTTTCTGGCTATAAAAGAAAATAAATAAATTGTGGGTGTTAGGTTTTTGGTGTACATTTTTGATGGCCCGGCAGGTCAATCGTTTTGAGCAGTTCAACATCAACTTTGCCAACGAGAAGCTCCAGGAGTACTTCAACAAGCACATCTTCTCGCTGGAGCAGCACGAGTACAACGCGGAAGGGCTGGAGTGGGTGGACATCGACTGGCAGGACAACGGCGAGTGCTTGGACCTGGTGGAGAGGGTAGGTTTATGCACTACCGAGTGCATAGAAAATCCAAGGGGGCTGGTATTTGCTGATTGTAGCAGGGCCGTGATTGGCTGAATGCGCTCACAGTCAACACATTTGTCTGGCATGTTAACTAAAAAACATATGTATAGCTCTCATCGGTAGACCAAAGAGCACTCTCTACAATTTGGCACAGAGCCAACAACATATAAGTGGAACACATAGACTTTTTTTTTTTTCTAAAGCTTTGTTTTGCACTTTATTGCTGCTTGGTCCTGTGGAATACAACATTTTATCTTCTAAGAAGGATATGTACTGAATTTATAGATTTTTTCTCACTGTTTCTACCTAGAAACTTGGTATCCTGGCTCTCATCAATGAGGAAAGCAGATTTCCGAAGGGCACCGATGAGACCATGTTGGAAAAACTCCACAGTAATCATGCTGTACGTATAACCTATACATTTATTGTCTCTGCCTCCAAACTGAACGCTCTTCAGTGGCATGGATGCCTTCGTCGAATTTTTAACAATTTGTCAATTTTGCCCCAGGGTATTGTTTTAAATATGCTTTGGTTCTCCTTTCCCGACAGAAAAATGCTTTTTACATCAAGCCCAAGGTTGCAGACAGCAATTTTGGGATCCGCCACTATGCGGGCGAGGTCTTCTACCACACCAAAGGGTTCCTGGAGAAGAATCGAGACACGTTCAGGGATGACATCCTGACGGTACTCAAGGAGAGCAGGTGTGTTGTGGGCTATGTGACTTTCCATCCAACTCTGACACCGGTGCAAATCCCTCGCAGTGTGATTCACATCCCAATCTCTGTGTCATTTATACTTGTGGCTTTACCCTTTTCCCTAGTCTGGATATTTGATATGCTTACCGGGAAGGAAGGACTGCTGAGTTTGGTTTGCGGTTGTAAAAATTTCATGTTTCTGCCGCAGGAAACTGCCACATCTAGGTCAGGGACCTTTACTGATGAAACAGGTACCTGGGGTCAGATGCAAAACCAGCAAGGCCTTGGATTAGGTTTGGAGTTCAGACCTTGAATCAGACAGCATGGAATTCTTATTGCAAATCTCCACAGAGTTGTATCTTTTGATCTTACATTTTCCGTGATAGGTCGGACTTCATCTATGATCTGTTTGAGACAATGCTGCAGTCCAAGAACCTTGGCGATGACAAGATGATGCGTAAGAAGCCCACGGTCAGCTCGCAGTTCCAGGTAAGCTGGATTCGGGCAGCTGGATAAAGCCACCGATCTGACGTCCAGAACAAAATTGGGAGTTAAGCCTTTATCTGATTGACTTGACTTACACTTGTGCATCTGAAAGCCTGTGGCTAGCAGCTTCATAGATGTCCCATAGACACATGCGTTATATCAAGCCGCAGCCACATAATTTGGATGGGGTCAAAGAATGGTCTCCTCTACGTACACCAACATTTGCAGTGTTGTAGTTGAGACCATCGTAGTACTTTTCACAAGACAGGAGACTAGACCAGACACAAGACAGGTTGCAAGGCACAGGGTGAACAGTGACCAATGCATGCATTCGTTACAGTTTATGTAAATAGCCTGTGGCTTGAATTCAGACTTAGAAGCTTTGTGTTGGTCTTGTGGTGGTCTCACGATGGTCATGAAAGGTTTTGACTACAACGTTGAAAATTTGAGCAAAGAGCGCCCTCGTGGTTGGGAATGAGGGCAGTTGAGCATTTGTAGTCATTGACTTCATACTGTTGTTATTTCAGGAATCTCTACATGCTCTGATGTCCTCACTGAACGCCTGCAACCCGTACTTTGTTCGTTGCGTAAAACCTAATCCGTACAAGGTAAGGTTATCATTTAAAAGTAGGTTTCTGTATGGGCTTTGAAGATGTCACGGAAAGGTCTCCAGACTCAGATTTCAAATTTTTGGGGGAGGGGAATGTTGATGGGTTGAAAGAGTGGATAAATAAAGAAAACGGTGGATTTTTATGCTTATAATATTTTTTTTTAATGATGGAAGTTTTTAACCTGTTGTCTTTTAAATTTTTCATTTTTCCCCGATTACTTTTGGCAACTTAATTTAGAAGTCTGTGGAAAAGGTATGGAAAATGAAACACATAGCAGATTTCCAGTTTTAGTTAACGTGAACCTGATTCAACAGTCTGTGGGAATAACATGTGGAAAAGTGACTTGCTCATGGAAAGCAATATGTCATGTATATGAGCAGTGTGGATAACTAACTGGCTGTGCAGGACAGCCAGGGGAAGCAAAGGTCTTGTTTGATCTCCTGTTTCTTTCAATTTTTCGTATCTCCCTCCTCTAGGCGGCAGCCCAGTTTGATGCCCAGCTTGTGGTCAACCAGCTGCGCTACTCTGGCATGTTGGAGACGGTCAAGATCCGCAAGGCGGGCTTCCCCGTCCGCCGCCCCTTCCCGGACTTCGTGGTCCGCTACCGGGCCCTGGTCTACCGGGAGGACCAGTCCCAGCCACCTGGCCGGCTCTGCGAGCAGCTCCTGGCCCGGCTGGACGACCGCAAGCAGCTCTGGCAGATGGGCAAGACCAAGGTGTTCCTGAAGGAGAGCCTGGAGACCAGGCTGGAGAAGGACCTGAAGCAGGAGCTGGGCGTGCTGGCCAGCAAGATCAAAGCGCACATCAAGGGCTATCTGGCCAGGTTGGTGTCAAGCTTGGGGGGAGAGGGGCGGGAGCTGTCCTATGCTTGGTGTAAATATGAACCCTCCTGATCAAAGTGTACGTGTATATCGAGGGATATCTCACTGGGTCAGCCGAGACCAGTTTCGTAGAGGTTGCTGAGTGTAGAAACTGGCTAAGGAAAGAACACTTTTGTTTTGCAATATTGAGTTGCTAGCCAAAAAGTCATAGTGTGCATATTTGTTGTGAGTGGCGATCTGCTAAAATCTCGCATACATTTGTCGAGAAAGATTTTTTCCAAGCCAATTCGGGAGAGGGAAGGGGATCCTAAGACAGAATTACGGCACTTTGCATTCTTGTAACGCGCTTGAAATTCCCTGTCAGTTTGGGGCTTCTCACTGTTTAACATTTCTGGAGTGTTTAAAGTGGCATAGAATGACTTTATGGATGTTGGTTTTTTGGGGGCTTTGACAGGAAGCGATTCAAGAAGATCCTGGCACAGGTGGTCATCGTAGAGAAGACAATGCGGGTAAGTTGTAGATCTCGCCATATGAACAGTCTGTGAAAGGATTTAGCTTCAACTACGTTCATGACGGCAAATCTGCTCTGCCGATCCTTTCCCTAGATGCAACACTGCCGCAGGAGGTACCTCAAGGTGCGCAGTGCAGTCATAGTCTTCCAGAAGTATGAACGTGCCCGCGTGGCACGCAAGATCCTGGAACACCTGAAGGAGGAGAAACGGAAGGAGGAAGAGCGACTGAGGGAAGAGCAGCGCCAGAGGGAGGAACAGGAGAGAAGGTAAGAGCCCCGAGCTAGAGGCAGCCAGGGTTCAGTGTTCCGTTCGGTTTGTTTTTTTCTCGTTTGAGCAAGTTATTCAAAGCTTTGCTGTTTTCTCGGCATTTCGTCGTCTTTCTTGCTGAGGACATGATCCAACCCAGCTTGGAAAAAAGACTTTAATATTGTTTGTTCAAGCGTAAGGTTTGTCTTTGTCACAGAGAGTTAGAGAGACTGAAAGCTGAAGAGAAGATGCGAGAGCTAGAAGAACTGAAACGGAAGGTAAGAGATCATTTTGTTGTGGCCTTCCTATAGTCTTAGAGTTAAAATTGAGATAGATCAGTTTGTCATCCAGAAATATGTGGGATGGAAGCACCTTGGACCCAACTAGTGTGTGATCCTAATTAAATTAATGTTGTTATCAGGGGAATGTTTACCGGAACGGCCGTTGTTATTTGTTGCGTTCTGGTGTTTCCTCGAAGACATGGGCATTTTTTGGGATGGACTTCACCTAATTGTTACATGAGGACCCTTCTAGAGCCAGTCCCACTTTGCTCTGAATGAGGTGTGTCTTAAAAGGTCAGCCTGCCGTAGAATTTTCTCTCCTCCCCTCGTGTCCACAGCTTGAGGAGGAGGCGCGGCAGAGGCAGGTAGAAGAGGAGGCCCAGCGGCGACTGGAAGAGGAGCAGAGGCAGGCGGACCTGGAGAAGGTCCGACAGCTGGAGATTGCCAGGAAGCAGGAGGAAGAAGAAAGCAGGAGGAAGGTAAGGCTTGTTTGCCAGGGTGGTGCTGGAGGTATGATTCTATCGTGGAAATTTATTTTGGGGGGATGGATTTGAAAGAGAAAGTTCACTTTTTGAGGTCCTTGTTTTCATGCTTGAATAGTTTTGAGCCATTTTGCGGACATTGTTAGTAATTGTCAGTGTTGTAGTCGAGACCACACGAGACCAACACAATAGCTCTATTCTGAATTCAAGTCACAAGCTATTCAAATGAACTCCAACAAAAGCATTCCTTTGTCATTGTTCACACTGTTACTTGTGACTGGTCTTGTGACTGTCTGGTGCAAGGTCTTGTGTCTGGTCTTGTGTCTGGTCTTGTGACTGGTCTCGTGATGGTCTCAACTACAGCACTGGTAATTGTGAACACATTTAACCAAGTTGTAAGCAAAAAGTGTTGGAGCTATTGACTGGCTCTTGGAAACCTGATGCTGCTTACTATTTTCCATTACGCAGTATGGTTTAACAACATTAAAAAATTCCATTTCAACTGTAATTTCAAGTTCCACTTCTCTGTCAGATTTTATCCAAACTTCTGCAAACACACATCAAATGAAAGTTTATTTATTAAATGTACATTACAGTGATCGCAAACTCCAACTTTGAATTTTCACTCCCAAGTGTTGGGTTTTGCTAGAGCCGGTCACAATTTTGTTTGCAGTTAGAGGGAGGTAGTAGCTCTCTACATCAGGGAAACTACCAGTAAAATGTGGTGGCTTGCAAAACTAAGGACTGAGTGTAATCTTTTATTGGTTCGTTTCCTGTACCCTATCATCCTCAGTTCCATAGTAGAATGGTTAAATCTACATGTTTTCCGATAACGACATTTTATCACCAAGCCAGCGGTGGCAAGATGTGAGCGGGCAGTGCCACTAGAAAGCTGTAAACAACACCTGACGAATTGGCCATTTTATTTTCATGTGCATCACTAGGCTGAAGAGCAGCGTCTTGCCCTGGAGGAGGAAGCCCGGAAGCTAGCCGAGGAGCAAGAGAAACTGCGGATGGAAGAGGAGGAGCGACGCCTCCTGGAGGAAGTGGAAAGCCACCAGCAGGAGCTGGACCGGCTGCGGGCCGAGCAGCTGGAGCGAGCTGAGCGGCAGATCATGCACGAGTTTGACCACTCCATCGCTCAGGTGAGTCCCGCAGCTGCGATGATAAAACTGTCTGGGATGGCTTGAGCTGAGGCTATGTCTGGAAATTCAGGATGTGGCCGGCCGGCTGCATGTATCTGAGGCGAGTTGATATAGCCATTAGCTAGTGACTTCCTCGGGCACACGATTTTCCCAGCCATAGCCAGTATCTTTTGGACGCAGCTGGATGAGTGGAAGTGGAACACAGACAGTGTACCGCAAGCCTGTACCACAATCCTTGACAAGTCACAGCCAAAGTGCCTTGTGAAAAGCCGTCTTGCCTACATGCAGCCACGTCCTCTGGTGCTGGTTTTGAATTGTTGACAGGGCCTATCAAACCATCATCAATTCGACTGCTTTTTGTCACAGTTAGTCCACCTCTAGCTGTAGGTCGCACAGGGAACAGTTAGCACAAGAAATACCCTTGTTGCCATGTTAAATTTCATTATGCCTCAGTTCTGAGTGTTTGTGACTTCTTGTGTTAATCCCAGGAAATAATGTCTCCAATATTAACAAAACCTTCCCTGTTGTTAGCCCACCTCACAGTGTATCTGTGGTGTTTCTGTTCCTTTGGTGAGTGTAATTTGTAATCACGGTACTTTAGTGTTACAGTTACACCTCTGGTGTTGTCCATTCCGTCATTAAGCATCTCTTATCCTTCTGTACCCCACCACCTGCCTTCCCCACCCAAATCCCCTCCCTATGCCTCACCCCTTTTCTTGTGTAACGTGTCTTTGTCCCAGTTGCATCAAATTCAAGCTGGTACATGTATTACAGATCGTCCCCCAACCTTTCCCCCTCCCTGTTTGTATACCCATCTGCCTGTATCAATTTCTCATGTCTATCTCCTCTCTCTGTACCTCTGCTGTCTTGCTGCGTAGCTTGCAGCTCAGGAATCACACGACTTTTACTCGGCTTTGGAGCAGGTATGTTGGGTCATTAACGCCTCGTTGACCTTTGACCCCTATGCATAATGAATCATTACTACTAATCACATTAATACTCAGCTGGTTTTTGTTTTAGTTGACTTTTCTCCATACATTCGTTTCCCTTGGTTTCCACTCTCTTTGAAGTGGAGAATTTCTGCTGTACGACTGTACCATTCTGACGGTGCACTGTTACAGTAGCTCTTCTTGCAAAATTGGCGAAACTTTCTTTTATTCAAGGTGCATTGCTAAATGAAGATTACTCCCATGTTTTTGAAGGTGCAGTCAATTTGGCATACTTGGCACTACTTGTGCAAATCAAAAATTGGTATTTACATTGCTGCCTTATCTTGAATATAACCAGCAATGTGAAGTCTGTGCGATGTTAATCCATAAATTGTATACTACCTATGCGCAAAAGGGCATTTGAAGACACCAGGGGCCAATTTCATAGAGCTGCTTAAGCTACTTTTAGAGTAGAACTTTCCGCTGTCAGCATATTTCAAATAAATTGAGTTCACTTTAAATGCTTCTACCGATTTAACTCTTTTCCACAGCCGGCGGAGTTAGAAGTAAGCAAAAGAAGAATTTAAAACAATACTAGCGTTTCACAATAGTGCACCTCCAAGAGTTTGCAACGCATTGACCAATCATAGTGCGCGAAATCTGCCGACCCGGTGCGCGTTTGGAAAGGGTTGACAGATTTCACGCCTTGTGATTGATCAACGCATTGAAAACTCTTGGAAGCGTGCTATTGTGAAACACCCGTATCGTGTATGTCTGTAATTTAGTGTTGGGTAATCTCTGTGGTACATCGCTTTTTTTGCTAAGCAGATATTTACTAGCTGTGTGTTGCATGCATGTTCTAATCATTTTCTAGCTGTGGTGTCAAGAGGATGTACTGTATTGCTCATTATATTACTTTTTTAATTCTCCAGTTCTGCTTACATCAGTCCCAAAGCTTTGCTTTTTTTTTCGTTCAGGCTAGGAGGCACTCTAAAATAAAAATGACTATTTCATTGAACTTTTCTTTTGTCAGGGGTATAACCGTGCCTTTTAACGGGGAGTCGGGCTGAGCAGTACTTGCTTTCTGTTCTTGGTGTATTAATTTTGCTTTTGAGTGTGTCAGTTTCTTTTGCTCGGTGTTATCAGCAGATGTCTCCACATGATGCTGCCTTTTTCTCAGTCTTAGGGGCCCAATGCTATGGAGCTGTCTTATCACTTAATACACAGAGCTGCACAGCTGGGTCACTCTCCTAGATAACTATGGTACTATGGAGTGCATCTTGCTTGTGTTTGTTTTTTGGGGGGGCTGAAGGTGTTGGCTCGAAATTCGGGTAGCCAGATCTGTGCTACTGAAGCAGCTGCTTGAAATGGCCAGATTTCAAAGAGCCATATAGCAGAAAATGGTACTTGGCAAGTTGTATGCTGCGCAGAAATCAGCAGTGAACCAGTTAGAAGTGGTATACATTACATTGGCATTTTTACCGGTCACCTGTTCTTGCTAGATGAATGGAAATTGATAGCTCGGTGAAGTCCTGTGCTTGAAAGATCCATGAAGTTGGCCGTAGACCACTGTCCTGTGTTACTGAACCTCTGCCCCTTTGGTCTCCATTTCAGGTTGAGGACTCTGAGGAGGACGATGAGAATGCCTCCAAGAAGTCTGAGGACACTCACTACTTTGAGGGCTTCCTCCAGATGAAGACGGGTAAGGGAGAGTGGGCGGAGTGAATGAATTAGTGGGAGGCATTTGTAGAAGCCAGGGGGTTTTTTTTGTTGAAATGTAACCCATTTATTGATTTGTTGTCTGTGACAGGGGGAATGGTAAACTCGTGGAAGAAGCGGTGGTTTGTGCTGAGAGACGAGACGCTCATGTGGTTCAAAACCAAACAGGTAACAAAAACCTTCCGAAACAGATGTGAAAATAGGTAGCAGATAAAGAAACTGGAGTTTCCAAAAGTCATTGCAGGGGAAGGAGCGTATCCACTTTGAGGAGAAGCTCCCCCCTCATTGGTTGAAAAGAGCTGCGTTGGTTGGGAGTGTTCATTTTGTTGGTAGCGATGCGACTACAACGCTTGTGTTTCCGAGTCATTCGTGAAGCAGCGATGTGCAGTTAGTACCAAAGGAGCATCCATTGCTAAGGAAATAGTGCCCTCTCTTGGTCCAGCTCGAGGCCCACAGTTAAGGACAAGATGACGCAGCAAGCTCCTTTGGTTGTCACTCTTGTTGAAATTTGTGAGAGTGTGTCTTCAGTACTGTTTCTCCGGTTACCATTTAACAGGAAGCTCTGAAGTCTGGCTGGCTCATGAAGAAAGGAGGCGGAACTGGTACCCTGTCAAGGTGAGCAGTGTTAATTTTTTTTCCCGTTTAACAGCGATGGGATTTTGACATCATTACTGGTAGGAAGTGGTAGCCCATAGACTCATCTGGGAGTCCTGGGCTCAGTGAGTTTGATACATACATCGAGTTCAGAACAGGAAAAACGAAGGCCATGAAGCTGACATTCTCCTTCTTTTTCAGACGAAACTGGAGGAAGCGTTTCTTCATCCTCAAAGACACGATGCTCTCCTACTACGAATCGGACGGCAATAACGCCAAGCTGCTGGGCAAGATTGACATCAAGGCATCCAGGTAGGCCCTCCCCACCTACAAGAATAACTTAAAATACTTGCGCTGCTTCTCATTATTTCCTTGTTTTCACTCTTGCGATCTTTTTCTTCTCAACAAGGTCTTTTTTAATTCTCCATGCAGACGAATCACAGACAGCAGCTACGGTCGAGAGAACTCCATTGACGTTGAAACCAACGACAGGACATATCACTTGGTGGCCGAGTCAGCCGACGACTGCAGGTACTGCCTGATACCAATCAAGGATTCTTCCTTTCTTGGTTTACGTTTACTCGTGTTGGATATCTTTGATGCATTCCTAGAGCTTAAGTGGAAATCATTTCACATTTCCCAGTTGGGACTTGGATCCATACATTGTAACTATTTATCAAAATGTTCTCACCACTAGGCTGCCGGGATTTTTTTGACTGTCTGGCAGTTTAAAATCTGTTGTGAGCAGCCAATGAATAAACATTTTGCAAACTCCACTTTTTGGGGGGCGGGGCGATAGAAATGTAGATGTCCCAACAGGAGCAGTTCCAAGGGAGGGGAGTGAGTTTTTTTTACGTACCCCGTTAAAATTTGGAAGTGAACTGAAATTTTCATTGTTCTGCACAGTGAGTGGTTCAGCATCCTGACACGGGTGAAGAACTCGCAGGACTATGAGCTGAAGCAAATGCACGACGAGGAGGCCAACCCCAAGAATGCCATCGGCTCGCTGGACGTGGCTATCATCGACTCGGTTGTACCCGTGAACATAGCTGAGAGGTTAATCGGTTTGGTTGTGGATTCTATTAAAAATGCTGAGTGTGGTTATGTTGTTGGAGCCCATGTTTGTATGTCACAAGACTTGACTCTCAACATCCTAGATTTTCAAGATCGATTAGGTTTTTGGAGGATTTTGAAAGGTCAAGGAAGATGCAGCCTCATTCATTGTCCTAAACCCTCCAGGGTACTTTGACCAGAAACCCTGCCAGGCGCATCTGTCCAAGACCAAACAGCCTGGGAGTCTGTGGTTGCCAGCCACCACAGGATCCAACCGTGACATTGTTCAGTGGGACTAGCTCCCAATGTCTCAATATGGCTAGTTTGTTAGGCTGCTGTTGATTGCCAAGTGCTTGAAAAGTGCTTTAGACTTTTTACACCTGAGGCACTGTGCTACGTTTGGCAGGGTTGGGGCTATTACATCCTACGAGGCTTGATGTACCCTCCAGCTCAGTACAAGTTTGTTGTCAATGATTTTGGGGAAAAGTGGAGGATTCAAGAGGGTTCTTGTCGCAGTTGCCTTTGGAGTTGGAATAGTGTCATCAAGATAAGAGCCGTCGTTTTGTTGGATCTTGTTGTCTGATGACTAATGACTTCTTTTTTTTCTATTCTAGGCCCAACTGTTTTGCCATCATCACGGCCGAGAGGGTCATCAACCTGCAGAGTGAGTCTCCGGTCGGCATGAACAACTGGCTAGCAGGTAAGGACTGCTCACACTTTAGCGCAGCTGATGAACCACCAACGGGGTCAACTTATGACTGTTAGATTTCAGCAAATTCAGAGAGAGCCTCAATAAAAAATTTTGGAGATTAGTATTTCAGTGTACAAAGGATGGTTCCTGTAGTTGCATTTATATAAGAGGCGTGCAACTTTTCCTCAGATAAGCTGATTTCCTTGGAAAAGTCGTGGAAATTTGTTTTGTTTTGCAGGCCTGGAAAAGTCATGAAATTTTGTAAAAATGACTAAAAGTCATGGAAGAGTCATGGATATTTTCAAACATTGTGTGTGATTTCTATTCTCAGAAATAAGTGCATAAAATGTGTGATTGTATTTGTAACTTAAAAAGCCCAATAGTCCAAGAAATTGCATTATTGGGTCATGGTTTTTCATAATTTGGTCAGGGAAAAGACATGGAATTTAATTGTCCTTTGGGTGCAGGAACCCTGTTCCTTGTGTTTTTTTTTTTATTCTTGCCATTACAAATTCAAAAATGTTCACAAAATCTTGTGCAGTTGGAATGTACTTGGTTTTTTTTCCTGAATTCCCACTCACACACCTGATAACGAGTCGGCCTGCTGCAGCTTTCATCCCGTTTTACAGGGGTGAGATTTCCCAGCTTTTTAGCGGATTTCAGCTTTTTTGTTTTGGATTTCAGCTTTTTTTCTTCACTGGCTGTGTGGGAGATTTTCTCAGTTCAGCTTCTTTACGCCCTTTTCCAGCTGTTTTCAGCTATTTGTATCATTGGTCAATCTCACCCCCTGGCTTTAGCAGCCAAGTTTCGTACTTCTGAAGCAATTACTTCCACTGTCAGAGGTCTGAGAGATCCAACAGGTTGTCTTCCCTCCTTCCCTCCCCCAGCTCTGACCCAGTACCACAAGGGCAAGCGCACCCACAAACAGGAGGACATCCTGTTGGGCGGCTGGCTGACCAAGGAGAGTGCCTCCACCGGCACCCTGGCCCGGGTCTCCATGGGCTCCCGCAAGAAGCGCTATTTCGTGCTGACGGCCAACTCGCTGGAGTTCTACCGCAGTGTGGAACTGGAGCAGAAGATGGGCGCCATCGCCCTCAACAGCCTGTGCTCTGTCACGCTGCCGGACGAGAAGATATTCAAGGAGGAAGGTGGGTGGAGGTTTTTCTGGCATGGCACCTGGCTCTTGGATTTTAGTGGTGGGGGGTAGGCAAGTGTCCCAGTTGGATTTTTTGGGGCTATGGCTTTGGTTTTCGCCATTCACAGACCATGGGTGGATAGCCATAGCAATTGACAAAAGTGTACATGCTGCCAGGTGAGAGATATTCAAGGAGGAAGATAGGTGGACTTTTTCAGGTTTGGCATTGGTCTTTTGGTTGGGGGGGAAGGAGGAAGGGTTTGGCAGTGCCCAAATTGGGTATTTCAAGGCTACGGCTTTTTTTCTTGCTGTTCATGCATGCACAATGCTGGACAGCAACAACCATTTTGACAAGAGTGCTTATTTTGGACTTGAGACCAAGCAAAGCTTCTTATATGGTCTTCAGGAATTCCCCTCCCTTTTGTCCTAAATTGAATTGAACACAAATAATAGATTGTTGTAAATATTATGTACACTTCCAACAGCTGGGATATTTTCAAATATTGCAAACTATACCAGGGGTCTGTGCGTGCAGATTGCATTTGCTAAATGTACGAATAAAATACATCCATTCGGGTATTCAGCATTCAAAATTCAATATTTGTAAGCTTTCCAACAAAGTGTGTATTATATTGGCCTGCGTCATGTTTTTTGGTGTTTGCTATTTCTGCAAGCGGGGCTTCTCTTGAGTCTTCAAAGCCTGCATTGGACTTGAAACACGGCTGTACTAACCACCGTCATACCTGTATTGCAAATAGTGTATAATCCTCATCTTAAATGCCACCCTAACCCCATCAACACCCTACCCAAATTCTGCAAAAACCCCACCTTTGCCCATACAGCCTTACCCAAATCCATACCCGACCTCTTGTCTTTCCTTTTTTTGTTTGACTTCTCAAGCCTCACACCCACCCATCCACCCACCCACCTGCCATTCATGCCCTTCCCTTTATTCCCGCCCAACTGTCATCCTCTTTTTATTCCCGTCCAATATCTGCAACAGCCACTGTCCTTGTTTTACATACCAACCCGAGCTCCTACACAGCTGAACACAGCCTAGCCTAGCCCAACCCAACCCTACCCATGTCTTCCCTGCCTTACCCTGCCCTGCCCTTGCCTTGCCCAGCCCTACTGTGTCTTGCCTTGCCCCACCTATGTAGCCCTGCCTAGCCCTGATCTGCCCAGCCCTGCCCTGCCTTGCTTTGCCCAGCACGGCCCTGCCCGGCCCTGCCCAGCCAACCCACTCATCCCACCCATTCCTACCTTACCCCTATTCAGTGCCTACCCAGTTGAAGGTTCCGCACCTCACATTTTTAATTAATTTTAATCTTAGCACTGAGTGATTATGACGTGCACCAGTGTATTTGCCTGGTACCGATTTTATCCAAATTGCATCTTGATATTAAAATTGTATTTCTCCTGTTCACATCCCTCGTTCTTTCCTCTGCGTGATTAAAGCCTGCCCACCGCCCACATCCAATCCAAGTTCCCCAAGCCCCAAAAAGAGCCGTAAAAAGAGCCCCATCCAGTATATCAGTAGCCCCACCCAAGATAGCCTGAGCCAAAATAGTCTCTCCCACAACGGCTCCACCCAGAGCCTCAACTCCCTGAATTTCAAGTCGAGCACAAATAGCTTGGTAGAGACGCTGATCCGCAATAAAAAGAAAAAACGCCGGGGTAAGACGACACGTTGTCTGCATGATCTCTTGGCACTTCGGGACTTTTGCACTTTGCACATACAAGATTCTGTGATGTTTGCATGATAAATGTCAAGCGTAGTTATAAATAGATGTGAAGCTATGAATATGCATGATTTGAAGCATCTCGTTTGTATTGAGAGGCATGAATTATTCATATTTGATTTTTTAAAAGAAAATGTTTCCCTTGTGAATGGTTTTTGTTTCCTTGATACGATTCCTTAGGCCGATTCATCAAGGAAGTTTGGATAATGTGAATTGTTATTCTTTGATGTGTTTCAATGAATTTACATATATTTGACGTTGCTGTTTGTCCTTATATGTTATTATTTAAAGTGTATTTTATGTTTCAACTATTGAAATTTGGTCTTTTAAAAGTGATGTGTTTCGTCAAACCGTTTTGATATGATGTGGACACCTGTTTATGAAAGCCAATTGAATTGATATTGAGGTCACAGAGTATTTAAGTTTGATTGGGGAAATTTTATTTGGTGAAGATTGTTATACAGCAGCAATTGAAGTTTGAATTTTTTCTTTTCCTAAGTTCCTTGCATGATGACATCATTCACTCGCTGGAACACAACAGTTATCGGCTTTATTATGATAACATGAACACGCATCTAATACATGTATCTGTCAACTGTGCATAATTTAAAGTCGTTTGTGTTTTATGCTTTTACGGCAAATTAATTATCACATAAACATAGGAAAATGTACATATTTATTACAGTCACAGTTTAATTTTGATGGCTTGTTAATATTCATGGTAATTGCTAATGACATTATTTCTAACTCCCCCATTTTTGCACCTGTTGCCTCCCCAAACCAACACCTCTCATCTTCTAGGTAGTCTGGGTAACATCTTATCTAATGGGGTCATGCCCACTGACACGCCCACCCAGTCCAATGGCATCAAGGCCACGCCCCCGTCTAGCCCCGCCCAGGGCCAGTCCAACTCCAACTCTATGCGTAGACGGTCCAATAGTCTTGTTTCCACGCTTATGCGGTCTAGCAAGCGATTAAGTAGACTAGATCGTGAGGGTATGTATCCACGCAGGTGGAGGCTCCGCCTCAAATGGATCAACAAAATGAATCATGCATGCCTTGCTGCATAATGCATGTATGCATGCAAAAACCTTCCCTGTGTCTCCTAGCTTGCTGGTGTTCCTGCCTGTGGTGTACTACTAACTCATGCATGCAAACTCAGGCGATTTGCTTGAAAAAAATTGTGATTCCTGTTCCCTGCTTAAGGTTAACCCAAACAATGTGCATGCAAACAAGTCATGTGCATAGTCACACAAATTTGACCAAACTAGAATTCTTTCCACGTTAATTTTGATTCGAGCTGTACTTTCGTTGGCTCCCCGAACAGGCCACCATAACCTGCTCTTTTTGTCACTTTCATTTTGTTGAATGTTGCTTTAAACTTTTTAAATTTTGTATGGCTAACTGACAAACATAGACTTGTAGTTTGTAGCTGATGTTCCAGGAACACAGTTGACTGTCAAAGTTGCATTGATGACAGATTTAAGATCTGTTTATTAATTCACTTTGGAAGTTGTTACAATTACCCAGCTCATATAGAACATCAACTACTTAGAATGTGGCACTTTGGAACAGAAGGGGGACCTGTTTTCATGCCACCGCAAGCAAAAAACAGGGTTTATGCATGAAGTAGGTGTTCAAACTACACCTCGGCAGGGAATTGATGTCCAGTAATGATAAGCAAAATGTTGCACCGAGCAGTAGTTGCGTGTCCCCCATGAGTATATATATACTTTGTTGAAAGTCACAGTTGAACTGCTACAAACTGAAGTTCAGTTTTCTGTCCCTGTCTAAATTTGTAGGCTGCCTGCTTGAGTCCTCCATTGTCATAAGTAGCAAGACTATAACTGCACTAATTATTGCATTTAACAGCTTGCTTGAAATCTTTGAAACATATTCAACCCTGCTTTTCGTCATCATTGGAAATCAGTCATGCACGGAATGCCATTATGCCATGTTTTTCCTTCTGCACTGTTCCTGTCTTAACATCATTCATCTTATGCTTTCCTCTCCGATCCTTTTTTTTTAACCATTTAACTGTGGGCTCTTTCTAGTGCCCATTGTTTCTCATTTGTTAGGAAAACCTTCTTTGACACAATGAAACCGATCTTTAAAGATCTGTTGGGCTTGAGGTATGTCCACGCGCCATTCCTTAGAAGGCCGACAACTTCTTGGCTGTGAATTAATGGTTGATTTTTTTTCAAAACGCTGACCGTGACATCGGCAGGCTACTGGAAGTTTACGGTGCATGGGCGTAACTGCTCCTTCAACCTGTACACTGTGTCTTATGATGAAGCCTGGAAGTGGACCTATGCCATTCAGGATGTCATCGACAGCAAACCGAAGCTGGAGACGCCGTTCCAGATACTCATTAGGGACATTAAGGTGAGGTTTCATTCGTGAAGCTGGACAGGGGGGTCGACTGATTTCTTTGGCTCGGTCACTATTTCAATGAATCGGTTGATCTACCACTCTCTTATAATTCAGTCAAGAGGCCAGAATGCCATAGAAAATTGTAAAGGTAGTTGCAGGTTTGAAAATTACAGAAATTCTTTTTCCAACATGTTGATATTTGTGGTATAAACAAAACTTCACGTAACTGGTGTGCTTTTTTTCCCCCCCTTTTTTCAGGAGGCAGCGATGGCTGGCGATCTGACAAGCATAGAGCGGATCTTCCGTTTGAATCCCATCCTCCGTAACACGCCCCACCCCCTCAAGGCTCCCCTCCTTCCTCTACCCTATGGCATGATCGTCAGCTCCAGTAAGTTCCCAACTTGTCACCGCCATCATCCCTTTCATTGCTTACACGTGTTAATCGCGGCTAAGTTACGCCGCTGCTGAACTGTCAACGTAAAACAATGTGGAAAACTTAAGAACGTTAGCTGCCGTGTACTTGTACATGTTCATGCTGCCGCCAGAGATTTATTTCTTACATCAGTGAAATGAACTTACTTATAAAGAAGAAGCAGTTGCCCTCCCCCCCATTAAAGGGCAAAATTAATTTTGATATCAGGTAGGTTCAGTTCACTTATTGATGCCCCTGCTGGTTTTCTAAAGTTAGTTCATGACTCTACCCCAAGCGGACCAAGAGAGGAAGCAAATTTCCTTGCAATGGGGCACGTTTGATGGGAGCTGTACTTTGCTGGTTCACCAAACGACTGTGAACTGCATGCATTGCTGTTGTGTTGCTACTAGCCAACTGAACTCTCCCCACCAACATAGCTCTTTTCAACTCATGAGGGGGTGCTCCTGCTCAAGGTGGATTTGATGAATATTTGCCCTTGTCAATTCCCAGGCCAAGAGAAGGGATACACGACACTGAACGATGAAGGGGTGAAAATCTTCAACTCTCTGCTGGGCTCGGAGAATCTGCCTGATCCTATGCCAGTGATCCAGGTATTAACCCACAGAGCTTGCCACCAGCTGTTGGTTAACTAGTCAGGAGTTTGGACCTCAATTAACGATCCAGTTTGTCAGCACTGATTAGTAACCAGGAGTGATCAACTGGCTTATAACCTAAGTGACATAAAGAAGCTAGATATTTCTGACTATCCAAACTCATAGCATGCAACTTTTCCTCGGATCAGCTGATTTTCTCATTTTTCATTCACACTTAGGCCATTGAAAATTGAGAACACTTACAAAGTCTTGTGAAGAGTGGCATTTCCTCGTTTTTGTCAAAATCCAAGTTGAGCTCCTGCTTTCCGTAGCTCGGCGACGAATAGGATAATGACTCCCCGTCCCAATTTTCATCTTCCGATTTTCATTCCGCTTCCCCTGCTGCAGGGCATCTTGCAAACGTGCCACGACCTGAAACCGCTCCGCGACGAGGTGTACTGTCAGATCATCAAGCAGACCACGGGGGTGACCGATCCGGACGGCCTGGGCAACCTGCGGAACTGGCAGATCCTGGCCTGCCTGTGCTGCAGCTTCCTACCCAGTCGCAACATCCTCCGATACGTTCGCTTCCACATGAAGAGGTGAGTTGGGGCACGGCAATCAGGGAAGGTCAGATTCACAGTGATGTTCAGAATGGAACAGTGAACCATCTACAGACTTCGTAAACGTGATATGAAGAGTTCATGATGCGACAAAACTGTATTGGTAACGTCAGTTTGTGGTATGGCTGACGAACCGGTCTATTGTTAGACTTTATAGCGACGTACATTGAAGATGCTGTGCTTGTCATTTGAATTGAAAGGTTTTTTAACAAGTCATTTGTGTTTTTCGGGTTGAATAATTGCCATAATGAGGAGTGTGTGGGGTTTGCTGTGGTTTTGAAGATCAGTTCAAAGACAGTGCTGAGTTGAACTTGTTTACGGGTTAATCTCTTAACTTTTTAAGTAGATTAGTTCGAAATTTCCTAAAATAGCAGTAGGTGATTAGCAAATCAGAACTTGTTCGTCAAAGAATGACATTTTGCCAAAAAGATAGAAATTATCATGTGGTTTTGGTTTATTTTTATTTGAAGTAAAATTTTATCATGATTACATTTCATGGAGATTGAATAATTTCTTAAGAATGGTATCATTTTCATTGTATTTGTTTAATGGGTTACTTAGAGTCAGGTGCTTACTTGATTGTCATATATATTCAGACATTCAAAGTAAGTTCTTGTGATTGGATCCATCCAGGCAAATTGAGTTGTTCCCCGACACCCAGACAGCACGCTATGCCGAGTTTGCCCTTGATTCCCTGAAGAGGACCAGGACGAGGGACTTTGCCCCCTCCAGGTCAGAGGTCATTGCCATCCTGGTGAGTCCCAATTCCCAACTCCCAAGTAGTCTTACAAGCAGCGGGAAGTTTCTTGCCTTGCTGAGATCAGTGGCTGTGTTGGCTTTCATGCTGAGAGCGACGAGGGTGTTGTTTTGTTTGTGCTCACCTGACTACTCACAGACACAGTGCATTTGTGTATGGTCAAATCGGGGGACCGGACTTAAAAAGCCATCACCACACTGGTGTGGCATACAGTTCTAACAGGTGAAGTAAATGCCTTTTTGAACAGTAGGATGCTGAGACTTCCTTAAATGCACTAGTACTTCCAAGTTCAAGGAGCCCAGCATGTCAGGTGCCATTGCATCAATGGCGTTCCTTGGAATGGTCTCTATTTGCAGTATTCAAAGTTGCCTGCTTGCTCTGTCTGTTTTCATTGAAAAAAAAAATTGATTTTCCTGTTCAAGGGTCGGCGTGAGATGAGCGCCACAGTATTTTGCCACGGGGAAGGCTCCTGCCAAATTAACATCAACTCAGCTACAACTGCAGGACAGGTCAGTTAGAAATCATCAGCATGAAGAAAGGAACGGAGCATATCTTGTGATTAAAATGTCCTTTTAATCCTTTCTCCTTTCTTTCGACTAAGATAGTCAAGTCATTCACACTTCCCGACACAAGTCTCTCTAAAGGTCCAGTCACAAGCACTAGTGGCGGAAGTAGGGGGGGAAGTGGACCTCCACTTTGTCAGCTGGGGGGAGTAAGCCCCCCTCCCATAAACACTTTTTGCAGGTCCTATAATAAGGTGGAGCTTAATGGATCAACCTGTCAATGGCTGATACCGGATGGTCTAGCAGCTGCCCCCCACACACTTTTTGCAGGTCCTGTAATAAGGTGGGGCTCAATGGATCAGCCTATTAATGGCTGATACCTGATGGTCTAGCAGCTGCCCCCCACACACTTTTTGCAGGTCCTGTAATAAGGTGGGGCTCAATGGATCAGCCTATTAATGGCTGATACCC